GTTTCCCCACCGCAGGCCGCAGATCCCCCCTCGGGGTCTCCCCGCTGTTGCCAGCGATGCTCCGCTTCCATTTTGGTGCTGGCGACGGTCACCCCCTCGTCCCCGTCCCCTCCCGCCTCCCCCGCGTGCCTCCCGGGAGCCCAAGGGACCCGCGCTGTTCCATTTTCATCTCCTGCACCCCTGGGCTGGGTGGTGGTGGGTGGCGATGGCTTCTCTGGTGTGTGCGGTTTGGGGGAGATCGGAGGGAATTGCTTGGAGCTTCCCTGATCCTCGCACTCGTCCTCCTTCCAGTCTCTTCTCTCGTTCCACGCATGCTTTCTGAGGGGGTGCTTTGAAAGTCCCTTTCCCGCCTCTCCTGAGCGTTACAGGTGCAGGGGAGGCTGCTGCTCCTCCTAGTTCAGCGGTAGGGCCCGAAGAGGAGAGGGAGACACGAGGACCCCGTTAGAAGGAGCACGACCCAAACACAGAGCGAGATTGTCAGCGGCCTTTCTCTGTGTGTGTTGGTGTTCACTGTCTGTTCCCCACGCCCATGGTGTCTCCTCTCCAGGTTGGGGTGTGTGGTGGGGGGGTCGCTATGTCGGATGACGATTCAAGGGCCAGCACCAGCTCCTCCTCATCTTCATCCTCCAACCAACAGACAGAGAAAGAGACAAGCACGCCTAAGAAGAAGGAAAGCAAAGTCAGCATGAGTAAAAACTCTAAGCTGCTATCTACCAGTGCCAAGAGGTGAGGCTGCAGTCAATTTTCTCACTGATTCGCTGCATCTTCGCTCCTTCCTTGTTTTATTTCGCTCTGTTTCCCCGCTGCTCCCTTGCTGCTCCCGTTCCTCATCTCTTGGCGTTCAACCTTTCCGCGTGAAGCTGCCATTGTCTCACTTCTTGCAGCGTCTGCCCAACTTCACTGCTCTCTGGTCTCTCGTCCTGCTTCTTCCTCTGTTCCATCCCAAATATTTTCCTGTCTTCTCTTCCTCCAGGTTGTTGTTCTGTCCTTCAATTATTTCCTTGTCTTTTCCTGTTTCCTAATTAGCATCAGTTGTAGGGATGGTGTAGGGCTGGTATGTAGGACCTTCATTCCTTCTCTGCTACTGGAAGCTGTATGGTCCTGAGGAAGGCATTGAATTTCAACGTTAGTTTCCCTTTCTGTAGGCTGGGGATTTAGCTAGAGTGGTGAGGTTTTTTTGTTTCCAGGACTGCTATGTGGGTTAATTAATGTTTGTGAAGAGTTTTGAATTTGCATGCACTCCAGCACAAGTGGTGTGATATAGCCCCAAATCTTTTCCACCGAATCTATTACTTTTTTTCTGTCTGTTTGTCACTTACATTGAATTTTCTGTGTATGGTTGGATGTTGACTAGAATAAATAATCCACAGCAGGTCCACTTGTGGACATTCTGCTCTAAAATAGTCTTTGCTTATGGCGCGGAGTGGGTTGGGTATTTTTGAGGATGAAATCATTTTTATTCCAGCATAATGTCTACATGGGGGAGAGGTGCCTGCATAGAGTAGTAATTCCAGAACAGCTGCATCGGTCAGTCCTCTTCACCTGGACAGACTCTTGGAGCCACTCAGTTATTTAAAAAAATATATTATTACCCTTGTTACGCTTTCTTTTTTTTATTCTGTGTTTCACTTGAATTCAGCACCATCATGTTTCAGGGAGCTAAGCTGAGAAATGGAAGTTTTCAAGCAAACTTGCAGTACTTTGTTGAGATGGTTTGTTATTCTCACTGAACAGCTTTGCCAAGCAGCACAGAGGGGTTGTATCTGTAGGTGTCAAAACTGACTGGGGTTTTATGCACATGCCCTGTCGTGGCAACTGAGTTCTCTGTGGCTTTGCAGAATTTGGGCAGTTTGGCTGTTCCAGATCTGCACTCAGCAGGTTTCCATGGCAAACGGGCATTAATAGTGGCAAGCAGTGTTTACATGTCATGCCCCTTAACTATTTTAAAAAGAAGATTGCAAGCTGCCCAGTATGAAAAGGCTGCGGTTCTTATGTGAGACAAGTGGGAGAGAGGCAGAAGATGCTGGCTGAGTTTGAAGGAGCAGAGAGGCAGACAGTGCTGGGTGGGGAAATCTGGAGGGGAAGCCTGCATGACAGTAATGGGACTCCAGGGAAGGGGATGATAGCTGGTTGGGCGTTCGGTGGCAAGAGCGGTGTGAGCCCAGAATAGTCTGGGCAGGGAGGACAGGGTGTTGTCTGAACGCGGTGAAGAGAGGGAGCGTCTGGAGTCCTGAGGGAGGGGACATGGGGATGTTGTGTGGTTCCTGAGGGTGAAGCGAGGGGAGGATTGAAG